TCTGTGGTGGTCAGATAGGATGCAAGGAGGCATTTCAGTTTTCTTGTATATGTGGAGACTTGCTTTATGTACAAGTATGTGGTCAGTTTTGAGGAAAATTCCATGAGGTGCTGAGAGAAAATATGTTCTTTTGTGTTTGAGTGAAATGTTGTGTAAGCAACTGTTAGGTCCATTTGTTTTATAACTTCCGTTAGCACTAGTATTTCTGTGTTTAGCTTTTATCTAGATAACCTGCTCATTAGTGAGAGTGGGGTATTAAAGTCAACCACTGTCATCAGTGTGTGAGAGGCAATATGTGATTTAAGCTGTAGTGGTATTTCTTTACAAACTTGGGTTCATGGATGTTAAGAATTGAAATGTCATCTTGGTGGATTTTTTTTTCTTTGATGAGTATGTAGTGTCCTTCTCCATCTCTTTTGATTAGTTTTAGCTTAAAGTCTATTTTGTTAGATACTAAAATGGCTACACCAGCTTGCTTCTTAGGTCCATTTACTTGGACTATCTTTTCCAACCTTTTACACTGAGATAATGTCTATCCTTGATGTTGAGATATGTTTCTTGGATGCAGCAGAAGGGTGGATCCTGTTTTTGCATCCATTCTGTTAGCCAGTGTCATTTTACTGGGGGATTGAGGCCATTGATGTCGAGAGATAACAATGACCAATGTTGTTGATTCCTGTTATGTTGGTGGTGGTGGTGGTGTATGGTGTGTGTGTGTGTGTGTGTGTGTGTGTGTGTGTGTGTGTGTGTGTTTGCTACCCTTCTTTTGGCTTTGCTGGTGTGAAATGATTTATTTCCTGCGTTTTCTTGGTCGGAGTTTTCCTTCTAGCACCTTTTGTAGGGCAGGATTTGTAGCTAGATATTGTTTACAATTGACTTTATCATGGAACATCTTATTTTCTCTATCTATGATGATGGCAATTTTTATTGTATGTAGTAGTCTTGACTAGCGTCTGTGGTCTCTTAGAGTCTACAACACATTTGTCTAGGCCTTTCTGTCTTTTAGATTCTCAATTGAAAAGTCAGGGGTAATTATAATAGGCCTGACGTTATATGTTACTTAATCTTTTTCCTTTGCAGTATTTAATACTCTTTCTTTGTTCAGTATGCTTGTCGTTTTTGGTCGTTATGTCCTGAGGGGACTTTATTTTCTGGTCCAATCTATCTGGTATTCTGTGTGCTTCTTGTACCTTTATAGCCATCTCCTTCTTTAGGTTAGGAAATTTCTTCTATGATTTTGTTGAAGACAATTTCTAGTCCTTTGAGCTGGGATTCTTCTTCCTCTGTTTCTATTATTCTTTGGTTTGGTCTCTTCATAGTATACCAAATCTTCTGGGCTTCATGGGATTTTGGGTCTTTTGGGGGGATCTTTTTGTTGTTGTTGTTTATATTTAACATTTTCTTTGATTGATGTATCCCTTTATTCTATCATATCTTCTTTCTTACAACTCTTGTATTCTTTTAGTGAAGTTTGCCTCTGTAGTTCCTGTTCCAATTTCTAAATTTTCCATTTCCAGAATTCCTTCAGTTTGTTTTCTTTTTTGCTTCTATTTCCATTTTCAGATATTAATTAGTTTTAGTTATGTCCTTCAACTGTTGGTTTGTATTTTCTTGTATTTCTTTAAGGGATATATTCATTTCCTCTTTAAGGACCTCTATCATCTTTATATACTTAGTTTTAAGGTTGTTTTCTTTGCCTCCACTATGTTGGAATAGTCAGGGCCTGTTGTGGTATGATATCTGGGCTCTAGTAGAGACATACTTCCCGAGCTGTTGTTGATTGTGTTTTTATACTGGTACCTGGGCATCTGGGTTTAGGATGATTATATGATATGTGTAGATGCTGATTTCTGAATTTGTCTTTGTTGGGTGCCTCTAGTAGAGACATGCTTCCCTGAGTGCTGTTGATTGTGTTTTTATGCTGGTATCTGGGTATCTGGGTTTGGAATGATTATATGATATGTCAAGGTGCTACTTCCTGGATTTGTCTTTGTTGGGTGGATGCTTTGCTCCTCGGTTTCTGTTTCCTCACTGGATTTTTGGAGAGTGTGATGGCTGTGTGTTGCCTGTTTTCCTGGCCTGCTCACCTGGTGTGTTCACAGGGAATGCATGCATAGCACCTTCTAGCACCATGAACACTACCTAGTAGGGATGAAGCTTCCATGCCTACCCCAATTTAACCCTTCTTATTCCATTGTTTCCCTTTAACATTTTCTATCTATGTGTTCTAACACCTCTTCCTTGGAGGCCCCTCACTGTAATTGTCCCTTATTAAATTTCTGACCTCAATGGGTATTCTAATATGGAAATTCAAATAACATACAGAAATTATAGAAAACATATGACATTTATCTTTCTGTGTCTAGGTTACCTCACTCAGGATGGTTGTTTCTAGCTACATTCATTTGCCTGAGAATTCCATAATTTCATTTTTCATAACAGCCACCTAAAGTTCCACTGTGTAAATGTACCACATTTTCATTATCTATTCATCAGTTGATGGGTATCTGGCGCTTGATTCCATTTCGTGGTTATTGTAAATAGAGCAACAATGAACATGGATGAGCAGGATGTAAAATACTTTGGTATATGCCCAAGACTGTAATATCTAGAACATATGGTATATCTGTTTTCATTTTTCTGAGGAAACTCTGCACTGATTTCCATAGTGGTTGTACCAGTTTCCTCTCCCAACTGTAGTGAATAAGTGTTTCCCTTTCTCTGAATCAGTTTGTTTTATTGACCTTGGCAGTTCTGATTGGGGTAAGAAGAAACCTCAAAGTAATTTTAATTTGTATTTTCCTAATGGCTAAAATGTTGAACTTTTTTTTCAAATATTTCACAGCTATTTGTATTTCATCTTTTGAAGAATGACTTTAGATCATACCCCATTTGTAACTGGATTGTTTATTTTCTTGATGTTAAGTTTTGGGGGTTCTTTGCTTATTCTAGATACTAACCCTTTGTCAGATATATAGATGGTAAAGATTTTTCCCTGTTCTGTATGTGTCTCTTCACTCATATGAGGGTGTCCTTCACTGTATAGAAACTGTTTAGTTTCATGGGTTCCATTTATTAATTGTTGTCATTTTTTATTGAGACAAGGTCTCACTGGGTAGATAAGGCTGGTCTTGAACTCATAGAGATCTGCCTGCCTCTGCTTCCGAAATGTTGGTAGTCAACACGTGAGACCACACTCAGCAACATATAGGATATCAGAGCAATTCCTAATGTTTTTTTTAATGCCCAAGCTTTCAGTTTACCTGAGTGTGGTGGCTCACATCTATAATCCAACACTCAGCCGGCTGAGGCAAAAAGATTGCTATGAACTGGAGGCCAGGCTGGGCTACATAGTAATTTCTAGGCCAGACAGAACTATATATTAAGATCTGATCTCAAAATAAACCAAAAAAAAAAAAACTAGGGCTGGTAAGATTGCTCAGTGGGTGAATCAATCCTAATGACATGAGTTTGGTCCCTAGGGTCTACATGGTAGGAGGATATAGCCACATCCTCTGACCTACCCACATTTACCAACCTACATACTTAATAAATGAAAAGATAATTTAAAAAACAATATATTGATAATCCTAGTTATCCTATGTATCTAAATCTTTTGTTAACTCAGACATTTCTTTCTTGTAGTTGTAATCAGTTGTCAAGTATTCCTAAATCTTAAGATACTAATCAGTGATTTCTTTAATGCTGCAAATTTACAATGCATTCATGAGTGAGAGAGAGAGAGAGAGAGAGAGAGAGAGAGAGAGAGAGAGAGAGAGAGAGAGAGAGAGAGAGAGAGAGACTAGAGTATTGAATCTAGGGTCTCATATAGTAAAAATCTTTCAGTAAAACCTATACTATGAGGAATATAGGTCTAGTATAAAACCTTTACTATCACTGCAAGACCACAGTCTGAATGGCATATTCTGGTCTATGTATCTATGAATTAATTAATAGCTAAGCATGAAGTCTCTGTCAAGCATTCTTATGTGCACATTTCTGATGTTACATCATTGAAGAGTTGCAGTCATTCTATCCAATAAGGAAGGAGTCAGAAAATGATCGAGGTTCTCCTAAAACTCACAGTTCCTCAGTGGTAGAGCAGGAGTCTTACTACAGAGCTTGTGTGCACTCGTACCCATTCTCTGTACGGAATGAGCAAAGATAACAAAGAGCCCAATCCTCACAACACAGCAACCAGCCAGCAGAGCTGTAGTGCCCAGGTTCCTCAACTGCTCCAGGAAAATGGTTCCCTGAGCTGAACTGTGTCTATGCACCTCCTTTGAGGTCTTGTAAGATGTAGACCATACTCCTCTAAGAGGCAAGTCCTCGACTGTATAATGAAACTGTTCTGTATGAGTCAGTAAGTCCTTCAGGAAGCCCGGTGTGAAAGTTCAAGACTCTTCCCAGAGGTTCTCAGTACGGTGGCTGGTGCTTCACCCATGTGTGCCCTCCAGACTGTGTGGCCCTGTTAGGTTGCCTTCAGAACACCTGCTATTATCATTGGGCCTATGTCTCTGTGTTGCTGTCTGTCTCCTGTCTTTGAATCAAGTTCCATGAGACTAGAGACTTTGCTTCCTCTAGAGATATACTAGTCTACAAAAATATACCTAGATCTATTCCTGAGAGACATATGAAAAGTGATTTCTCTTATGTTGAATTAATAAATATTAGCTTAAGACAGATGAAGGATCCAAAATCAAGTTGCACAGGAGACTTGCCAGAGGCACAGCGCAAATGAGTTGTGACCCCACGGCCCAGTAATGGGCAGGAATGGGGGTAGGAAAGGAGCCGATAGAAAATTAGAAAACTTTGCCATTTGTCCTCAGATCACTGCATGTGTGCATGTGCACATGTGCTTGTATGCAAACATGCATGTGCATATGTGTGCACACACACAGGGAGAGGGAGAGAAATGGTATACACATTTTAAATAATGAAAAGTGAAGCAAATTGTTTAATGTTTCAATGGAGTTCAACGGCAGTTTGAATTGTTCAAGGAGCATCCTATACTTGGGCAACCGTTCTTTGTTCTACATCCCTGCAAGACAAATGAATTCATGACTGCTGTGCTGAAACACCCGCAGAAAATCAATAGGTAAGAAACACCTTTAAGACACATTGTACTTTACTCTGACTTTAAAAGTATAAATCTTTTCATGCAACTCTAAAAGCTGGGCTAAAATAAGAAATATTCTTTCTAATAGCAATGGTGAACACATTGATTTTGGCTATGTGCTAAGTGTCCTGAGTTTTAGATGTATGAACACATTGGGCTTTTATTACATCCCAAAACTAAATACCACTGTTTTACTCAGTTTTCAGGCAAGGCTAAAGCACAGAGGAGTTGGGTGACTCTGCCGAAGTTACGCAGCTAGTCTGGGGTAGGACTGGGACTTGAACACAGCATTTTTACCTCAGCACCACTGTCTTACCTGCTGCACTCAGCTGGCTCAATAACTGCTTAAATTCAAATGAAGGCTTGGACCATCAGGAGAAATCAGGGGCCCTTCAACTACGTTGGTGGGAGATCATTATATACTCCAGGATCACAGATCCAACTTATACCATGTGACTGCCATAAGGATTCTGGGATTCCAAGCAAGCCCACGTCTTGGGGAAAGGCCTCATTTCTCTTCCTTTTGGCCACTTTCTGGTTCTCCACTAGAAACTGTGATACAGAATTTATACTACATGTGTTTCACTTGTTTCCTAGAAATGTCAACTACATCACTTCATGGCTGAGCATCATGGGGCCAGTTGTTGGTCTGAATCTACCTCTGAGCTATGCTAAGGCAACATCACAGGATGAATGATTTGTTGACAAGCGAGGTAAAGAGCAAAGCCTGGGTGCATGCTTCACTGTCAGTGACACTGATGGTGTCTCTCTTACCCTTAGCTACACCTCTGATCTGGGGGCCAGTGTCCATCGGCTTTATTGGGTTTGGCCCTGGCTAGGTCTTTAGTGTTGCCATTATTTTAGAGGTGCTTTACCTGCAACAAGGGCACCCACAGAACTGCAGGAGTGAATGGTTTTATTTTATGGCCAACACTCTAGAAATAAGACTTTACTGCTCACCTCTGTTCTCTTTGCTTTGTTCTTGCTCCCGATCTCCGCTGACCCTAGAAGCTGTGGCACCAGAGTGTTTATGCAAATTCACTGCAGCATCTCATGTCACCAAGATTTGATGCAGATTTCTTCCCTTGGGAAGAAATGTCTGCAAACCTGTTTGGAATAGTGGTTGTATGGAAGGAACACGTCACAGATTCAGGTCGCTATACATAGCAAAATGCGTCTAATTCAGTGACATTGCAATGCTGGCATCACTGCTCACACATTTTCCTCTAGGCACAGTTCCTTTTCTGTTGGAGAGATTGATGGGGAAATATATTTGTGTGTTTGGTCTCACATAAAAACTTGTCTCTGAAAATTAATGTTATAAAAATGACCCATCTTAAACTATCCTCCTACAGTTAAACTCAGGAGCAATGGATTATTTCTCTGTCTCCCCAAAAGTGTGTGTGTGTGTGTGTGTGTGTGTACATAAAAAATACATACAAAGTAAAAAATTATTGATGATTTTATCATAATAATGTGTTTTACAAACACAGTATGGCATGATAACTGGACGTTTTTAAATAGCTATAGGAAACATTTAAGCATTGCAAATAAAAATAACGCAATTATTTTTCCTTCTACCTGTGAGGGTCACAACCACTCTGCTGCATACTACAGGCTTTTGTGCAAGTCTTCATAGCCCTACAACTTTCTTTCTTTTTAGTATGAGAATGACAAGCTGCCTCACAACACTGCTGTGAGAACTACATTAAGTCATTAATGTACAACTATTAAATGTTCACTTGTCACATAGTCAGCTGCTATTATTAATTCAGTTAGTTTGTCCAGCTGGTTTTTGGTCTTGCTTTGGCCCAGTATTTCTTCATTATGCCCATTTTCCTTCCTTTTGAAATGATAATGTATATCCTGTGCCATTATATGTTGGAAGTATATGATTTTATTTTGATTTTATAGGTGGTTACAGTTAAGAGATTGTCATGAATCGCAGAAGAGACTTTGAACTTTGGAATTTTAAACATTGTTGAGGCTGTGATAGACTATGGGGACTTTTGAAGTTGGGCTGAATGCTTTTTGCATTATGATATGACTACAAGCCTATAAGGGACTAGGGAGGGGAATGTGGTGGTCTGAATAAAATGGCCCCTAAGAGCTCCTAGGGAGTGGCTTTATTTGAAAGGATTAGGATAGGTAGCCTTGTTGGAGTAGATGTGACCTAACTAAGACAGTCTCTTCACAACAACAGAACACTAACTAAGACAATAGGTCTGCCCCTTTATCCCTCCTAGTCTTCCACACATCTACCTGCTTTCTGCGATGAGTTAAAGCAGCGTAAGGTTTTAACAAGTGCAGCTGACCAGCCTTGAACTTTCCAGCCTCCAGAACCAGGAGTCAAAACAAACCTGTTCCATTATGAATCAACTTTAGATGTTTTCTTACAGCAAGAAAAACGGAGCCACATGTGGCCAGAGATGAATTTGTGAGAGTAGTATCTGTTCTAAGGGGAATCATGGAAGTCTGCAGAGCACCCCAGTCCACATCTGCGGAGCACCCCAGTCCACATGTGCAGAGCACCTGAATCCACATCTGCGGAGCACCCCAGCCCACATCTGCGGAGCACCCCAGTCCACGCCTGCAGAGCACCTGCACATGGTGCACATGGCATGTTTACTTAGTGGCACTTTGGCAGGGCCATATCTGCCCAATAAGAACTGAACTCTCAGAAGGAGTGGAAATAGAAAAGGGTTAATCTAAGCTGCTAGAAAAGCTACAAGTGAATTCAAAGTGCTGAGCTGCACATATTCCTACTAGGATGAGAGCTTTTGTGTATGCTTGCTGGGCACCTTGCTGTTACACTTTAACATCTTCACAGCTTCTGCAAGGGAGTTTTCCCTTCACCCTCCCTAATCTGAACAACAATTTCTCAGCAAATCGTTTCCCCAGCCCTTCCTCCTGTGTGTGTGTGTGTGTGTGTGTGTGTGTGTGTGTGTCTGTGTCTGTGTGTGTGTGTGTGTGTCTGTGTGTGTGTGTCTGTGTGTGTGTGTGTGTGTCTGTGTCTGTGTGTCTGTGTGTCTGTGTGTGTGTGTGTGTGTGTCTGTGTCTGTGTGTGTGTGTGTGTGTGTGTCTGTGTCTGTGTGTGTGTGTATGTATGTAATGATAAGGATTTCTCTGTGGCTTTGGAGGCTCTCCTGGAACTCACTATGTAGACCAAGCTGGCCTCGAACTCACAGAGATCCACCTGCCTCTGCCTCCCCAGTGCTGGGATTAAAGGTGTGCGCCACCACTGCCCGGTGAGAGAGGCACTTTTAAATGGTGCATAACTGACATAGCTTGGGTGGCAGAAGGAGGCTGCTGCTGCGGTGAACACTAACAGTGTGTGTGTGTGTGTGTGTGTGTGTGTGTGTGTGTGTGTGTGTGTGTGTGTGTGTGCAGGTACTTGTGGGAGCTAAAGGATATTTGTAGGAGGAAACAGTGTGCCGCCATTAACCATGTGACTCAGCGAAAACCACTGTTTCCTCCTACAGATATTGGATCCCATGGAGTTGGAATTAGTGATAGTTGTGAGCTGATCTGTGTGAATTCTGGAAATGAAACTGGAGGTCCTCTTCAAGAGTAATAAATGCTCTTTTGTTTGTTTTATCATTTATTGAGACAGGGTTTCTCTTTATGGTCCTAGCTGCCCTGGAACTCGCTCTGTAAACCAGGCTGGCCTTGAAAGATCTGCCTGCCCCTGCCCCTGCCCCTGCCCCTGCCCCTGCCCCTGCCCCTGCCCCTGCCCCTGCCCCTGCCCCTGCCGTGCTGGAATTATAGGTGTGTACCGTAACTGTTAGGCAGCAGTAGACACTCTTCACCACGAGCCATCTCGGCCTCCTCACCTGACATTCTGACATGTATCTGGATTCTGAGGGAGGTGCCAGGGACACACGACCTGGAGAATGCTATAGTCCAGTGGAAACAGGCAGAAGGAGACTCTGGGCCATAGGATGCATGCTTTAGCCGAGGGATGGGAAGCAGGTGTCTAGGAAGGCTTTGAAGCAAAGAAATGTGAGCCAACTGATGAAAGACATGTCCTCTGTCCTGCCAGGAGGTGGTGAGAACTGAGGCTGCCTACCGACTCTGCGCCAGACTGAAGAGCCGTTTGTTACCGTCCCACTGCGAGTGTGTACATGCCTGAGAACCACAGAGAGCGACTGAAGCGATTTGAGGTGTTCACGTAGTCACATTAGCACTTTAGAGAGAAAGTACTTTTCAAATTCTGCTGCTCCACACAACTATCTCACAGAGGTTTTCCATCATTGCATTGACAAAGTGGAGAATGACGAGTGTCTGGCCAAGTACCAAGGACATGTATGTTTCAGTTCTTACCTGGGGCCTTCTAAACAGAGCCTGCTGGGGGCTCCAGAATCCTGAGTCACCTGAGGCAGGGCATCAAGCCTCTCCTAGCCTCTGTTTTGTGATGTGTCAAATGTCTGAAAGTATATTTAATCCAGTATGTTGGATATTACTTTTTTAAATAAAGACCACTTTAGAAAGAAAATATCAGCTGTATTTCACATTGTGAAAGTATTGTCATATGAACTCTGCTTTCAGCCAGCCATTGTCCTCAATGGTGGAATTTGTCCCGAAACACAGGCATCGTGACGCGCTTCATCCCTGGGTGGGTATAGGTCAGCCTGACGCACACGAGTGTTATAAGTGGTGTATGCTGTCATGTATGTGTGGCTTTGCCACTGACTGAGCTGTCTTCAAGCACAATGGCTGTGTCCATGTGGTCTGTGTGCACGTATGTGTGGAATCTGTAAGGAAATGCATGTGTCTGGTGAGGTAGGCTGGGTATGTACTGGTTTGTGATACAGACAGGTTTCTAACTCCGAGGAATGGAGATCTGAAAGTGAGCAGGCAGATTAGTTCCTTCCCCTTCAAAGCCCATGTCATGACCTTGTCACTGCTGCCCAGTGAGTTGATGGCCACCAGGACTTAGGCAGTATTTAACTGTTCCTGTGCCCACAGCCCTGCATACTCTCAAGGACTCTAGGCTAAAGCTGTCCCTGTGGGTTTGAGTTTTGTTGTTTCTAATACAGAGTTTTGCACTGTATCTCTAGAAGGCCTAGAAATCAATATGTAACCTAGTTTGGCCACACACCCACAGTAATTCTCCTGCCTCGGCCTCCAGAGTGCTTGGCTTACAGGTATAAGATAATGCGCACACATTATGCCTCAGTATTTTATAGGGTGTATTGGTGTTTTTACTTTTTTTTCAAGAATGGACAGCACTAGAAGAAACCATCCTGAGTGAGGTAACCCAGTTACAAAAAGACAAACATGGTATGTACTCACTCATATATGGGTTTTAGACATGGATCAGGATAATGCCAGTCTGCACTTCCACTGACAGAGAGTCTGGGAAACAGGAAAGAACCTAAGAGAGATATGCATGGTGTTTGTACTTTTTTATTCTTCAGTTTGGTAGTTTAAAACAGGACCACAAGCCTTGTTTTACCTTTTATGTTGTCAGTGGCGACATCTAGTGGTCTTGTTGCCGGTGCCCTTCAGTGCAAGTCCTCTTTTGTATTAAAAATGAATCAAAACCCACATGTATTCTATGTTCTAATTAGTCTATGTAATAATAAACCCATAGCTCTGTGGTGCTTTTCTGGGCTCCTTTCAAAGTTGTCACGTGTCCCAAAGCCATTACTAGTTACAAAGAAAGCTGATAACAAAGACAGCTCAGCATCTCTGCACCATCCAGTGACTACCATTTGCCAGGCTCTGCATCATGCCTGGTACCTCACAGCACTCAGTCAGTATCTGTTGGATATTTTAATTACATAGGTAATTGCCAAGCCAGGGGATGTTGGTTTAAACAATAGAAATATGATCAGAGGTTGAAAGGCCAAGAACATTTAAAAAGTAGTTATCAATAGGATCCAATAGGGCATCCTCAATGGGTTTTCACCTATGAAGGTGAGGCTATAAATACCTATAATCCCAGCACTTGAATGGCTGAGGCAGAAGGACCGTCATGAGTTCAAGGCCACATTTGGCTAAATAATGACTACCAAGCCAGACCAGCATACTTATCAAAACTCTAGCAACAAAAATAAGTAAATGTACTGATGGTTCATGTACACTAAAGCTATACAGATTTTCTTGTTTTACCAGCATTGTGGCTACACAATCAGAATGTGTAGAAAATTTTAAATTATGGAAAATTTGAAACGTAAGAGTGGAATTCAAACTCACATACCTACAAATCAGAATTAATAAGCCAAGACCGTGCCATATTTGCTTCATTCAGTTCTTTAGCTGTGCCACTACCAGAAAGCAAATTTAGACATTATGGCATTTATTTCTATGGGTACAGACATTTTTTATTTGACTTTGTCCATCAATTTTTGCTTCATTTTTACTTATTGAACATTACAACCCCTAAGTTTGGAGTTTTGTCCTCTGCCTTTATCCTGATAGTATGCTTCATACCCACTATGAGACTATAAATTTACCAGTGTCTTTGGGCAACTTTGATTTATAAGGGCTACAGTCAGACCAACAAGTACAACCAAACAAGATTGGGCAGGTTCTGTGGGATGGATTAGTAATACTGTTCGTTCCCCACAGGCTCATTCGTGGCCTGGGACGTTGGTGGTAATGTTGAGGTGGGACCTCATCATAGTCAGTGTTCTACTGCTGTGAAGAGACGCCGTGACCATGGCAACTCTACTAAAAGGAAGCATTTAATTGGGGCGGGCTTACAGTTAAGAGATCTAGTCCATTTTCATCTTGAGAGGGAGCATGGCAACACTCAGGCAGAACATGGTGCTGAGGAATGTAGTTCAGAGCTCTGCATCTGGACCCACAGACAGCAAGAAGAGAGCCACGGGACCTGGCTTGGGCTTTTGAAACCTCAAAGCCCACTCCCCAGGGACACACGTCCGTCTTCAAACAGGACCACACCTCCTAATCCCTCCCAAGTAGTGTCACTCCCCAGTAACTAAGCATTTTAACATCTGAGTATGTGGAGGCCATTCTTAGTCAAATCACCAGAGACCTAGGGAAGTAACTATGTCAGGGGGCTCCAACCTCATGAGTGGATTAATGCTGTCTAACAGGATTGGGTCAGGCAGGACTTTAAGGATTAAGTAAGTTCTCTTGAAAATGTGCTGTTATAACTGGGCCCTATACTCACCTGAATAGGATCTCTCACCTGTATGTACTCCCTCTGTTGAGGACATCCACCGGAATGTCCTCACCACGGCTAACCAAGTGCACTGTCATGCCCCTCAGTCTCCAGAATCGTGAGTTATCTGAGAATAGGAAATGCAACTGAGAAAATGCCTCCATAATATTGGCCCTTAGGCAAGCATGTGGAGCATTTCTTGATTAATGGCCCAGCCCATTGTGGGTGGTGCTACACTGGGCACGTAGTCTTGGGTTGTATTAAAAACCAGGATGAAGCCGGGAGTTGGTGGTGCATGCCTTTAACCCCAGCATTTGGGAGGCAGAGGCAGGTGGATCTCTGTGAGTTCATGGCCAGCCTGATCTACAGAGAGAGTTTCAGGACAGACTCCAAAACAATAGAGAGAAACTCTGTCTTGGGGAAAAAAACAAAACAGGATGACTGAGGCAGTAAACAGTACCCCTTGAATGACTTACTTTAGCTCATGCCCCCAAGTTCCTACCTTGAGTGTCTGCCTTGACCTCCCTCGGGGATGGACTGTTACCTGAAAGTGCACAACGAACTAAATCCTTTTCTCCCCATATTACTGTCGTCACAATCTTTATCACAATAGAAAAGGGACTAATGCACTCCAGTTCTAGGGAACCCAACACATACTTCTGGTTTCCATAAGCATTGCACACGTGGTGTACACCCCTACATTCAGGCAAAACACTCATACACATAAAAATCTTTTAGAAAAATAAAATGGAAATTTACTATTGTAATTCTTCTCACAGTTGAACAGAACTATACAGTTGTTAGCTTCTTAACTACTTTTTAAAAGTCTAAAGATGAGTAAAAACATACTTTCAGAAACAATATATGTGCACTTGCATGCACACACACATAACCAGAAATTCGTGTGATATCAGGATGGTCCTACACCCCTTAAAATCGATGCATAGGATAAAACCTAGATCAAGAACCCTGTCTGATAAATGCGCACACTGTGGGCAAGAGGAAAAGGAGTGAAGTGCGGGGAAATGCATATACAGTGTCAAATACAGAATGAACAAGTCATCTCATGTTGATAAGACAGAAGAGTCTCGAGTGGAGCTCAGGGGAAGAGCAGGACGTAAAATGTGCACTATGCAAACATGAGGACCTCAGTTTAGGTCCCCAGAAGCAACAAGACAGCTGGGTATAATGGCGCACAGCTGTAACCCCAGTGCTGTAAAGGCTCTCTGGCCAGCCAGCCTAGCCTAATCAATGAGCTCCATGTTCAGTGAGAGACCCTGCCTCAAACAATAATGTGGGAACTGAATGAGCAAGGAAGACACCTGTTTCCAAATCAGGTGATAAGGAACAGAACATACCTCAGCAAGTTACAGTGCTGGGTTCAGCTGTGACTGAAGTGAAACACTGTCCCAGTGGCAGATCCACTACTGTCCAGGCTTCAACAAGGGTGTGTGCTACACAAGGCGAAGAAGGACTGTAAATTTGACACCATGAAAATGTGAGTTTGTGTAAGTGCTGTGTCCCTGCACTTTAAACCCAGCCACCTTAGTCAGCTACCGTGAGGTTTAAAAACAAGCATTAATAAACCCTCCTACACAGTGAGTAGACTAGAGAACAAATAACACATTGCCTCTGGCATTGTTGTTGTTTCTATATCTGTAATGAAACACCATGACCGAAAGCATCTTGGAGGGGAAAGGATTTACTTCGGCTGCCTCTCCATCACTGAAGGAAATCAAGGCAGGGACTCAAACAGGGTAGGAAAAGAAGGCAGGAGCTGATGGAGAGGCCACCGAGGAGTGAAGCTTAGAGGCCAGCTCCCCATGGCTTGCTGAGCCTGCTTTTTTATAGCATCCAGGACAACCAGCCTAGGGATGGCCCCACCCACAATGTTAATCATCAATTAAGAAAATATACCACAGGCCAATCCTGGCATTTTCCCACTTGAAGCTTCCTTTTTCAATGACTCTGGCTGGTTTCAAGATGACATGAAACTAGATGGAACAGCCAGCAATAGTTAAAATCACTGGTAAAGGACCTGGTAAGGAAGTTGGCACTTCTTACTGGATCTTATTAGGGATGTGGGATGCTTAGCTCCTCTACACATCCTAAGGGAACAGTACTCTTGACCCCAGATTTACTTTCTGACAGTTCAGTTGTGTTGGAGGCAGAATGCACTAAGGTGGAGATTTGTGTTGGTGCCTGGCTGAAGTTCTGGAGGTTGTGTCAGAATGGTTTGCCCAAACTGAGAGAAATCTGGAAATGAAAAACTTAGGAATTTGAAAGCAACCTTAGAGGCAAGCCTGACCAATAGAATGCAAGAGATGAAAGAGAGAATCTCAAGCACCAAGACAAGAGAA